AAGTCGCTCTGGATAAGAGCGTCTGCTAAATGACTAAAATGTAAATGTAAATGTAATTCTGTATTGTCTAGGGCAAAACTAAAAAATGGATGCAGCTATGGTGGTAACTAACTCATGGCTGAGTCTGATTTATACAGTGAACTAGGAGCAACAAACCGAAACGGCGTCACCGGCCTGAATCTAATCCAATCTGGAGCTACTAGTTTCCACTAGTTACCACATCCACAAAGTCAGAATATATCATACAAATATTGCATTTTGGTCTTAATTTAAGATAGGGTTAGGCATAAGGTTAGCAGTGTGGTTAGGTTTAAAATCACATTTTAAGAAGAGAAAAGGTAGAAATAGGCGGCCTTTATGACTGTGGCTGTGATGACCTATAATTACTTTATGACTGTGGCTGTGATGACCTATAATTACTTTATGACTGTGGCTGTGATGACCTAGAATTACTTTATGACTGTGGCTGTGATGACCTAGAATTACTTTATGACTGTGGCTGTGATGACCTAGAATTACTTTATGACTGTGGCTGTGATGACCTAGAATTACTTTATGACTGTGGCTGTGATGACCTATAATTACTTTATGACTGTGGCTGTGATGACCTATAATTACTTTATGACTGTGGCTGTGATGACCTATAATTACTTTATGACTGTGGCTGTGATGACCTAGAATTACTTTATGACTGTGGCTGTGATGACCTAGAATTACTTTATGACTGTGGCTGTGATGACCTAGAATTACTTTATGACTGTGGCTGTGATGACCTAGAATTACTTTATGACTGTGGCTGTGATGACCTAGAATTACTTTATGACTGTGGCTGTGATGACCTAGAATTACTTTTACCCGAGTCACTGCCCTGATGACACAGACTGCTTCAACAACGGTAATGTGTGTTATGCGAAAAGTTATATAAAAAAAGACTTAGTTTGATAAACTAGTAGGTTAATTACCCAGCCAATCAGATATAAGTAGTAGAGTTATTTTGGTTGTGACGTGCATTATCAAAAAGCTTTGTCCTTTCTTTATAACAAAATGCAATTTACCACTTGGCTGTCTATTTTATCACCCTGTCACAGGCTCTCCCAGTCAACCTAACCTCTTAAGATTGAGCAAGTACATTGTTTGAGGATTGCCTGCTGCAGTTGTTCGAGAGATGTCCAGTTTGCAGCCGAACATGGAACATACAGAAGACCAGCAAGGGGACCCTAAGCCTCATGCAGACATGCCCTCACTGTAAGCATTCCTATAAATGGAACAGGGAGGACATTTTAAACAGGTTGGTGACATTTGACTTGGTCAAAGGTCAAAACAGTTTCAAGTTTTCTCCCAATTCACCTTCATAACCTAGCCTGGTGGAACCAGCCTGATTGCTGTGTTTACCATTCTATTTCACTTACCCATATCATGATATCTGAAGTGAAATTGAAAGATGAATGCAGCGACACGGTTGGCTCCATCATGCTAATAATAACCACCATTGATCATGTAATCAGTGCTCTGTGTGTGTGTTTGTGTGTGACCGACCAGTATCTTTGATGAGGGGCCAGGAGTTGATCTACACTGCCATGCCTATCAATGGGGCACTGGCAAAGATCTCACATCCAGCCTCACCTCTTGGCTGCTCACCAACGGTTGTCGATGAGGATACCAGAATTAGGTAGGTTTAGTCTGACATGTTCAAACTTCAACATAGCATATGTTTGTTTGTCAGATATCACTTATCCTAACTGCCATTGGCAATAGAACAGTGACTGTGTATGTGTTCACAGATGCATCTATGTAGCCAGCACTTGGAGACTTTCAAGATTATGTGATGGAGTCCTAACAGACAGGCTTGATACTGACGTCTCTGAATGGAGAGAGACCTGGCGGCAATCAAAACATCCACAATGTTGGACTGAAGGTGATTACTAATAATACAGTTCAGCAGAAATTTCCAGTATTTGCAACACCCTTTTCATTCCATGTGTCACTGATGAACTCTGCCTCAACTCTGCCTATTTCTACAGATGGAGAGGACTGTAGATGCTTTTGCCAGACGCCAGCCTCAGTCGTTTGATGGGGAGACCATAATTGGGTAGGTTTTATCTGATCAGTTCAAACTTCAACATAGTACCTGTTTGTTTATCAGATATTACCTATCCTAACTGCCATTAGTAATAGAACAGTTACTATGTGTTCACATGTATGGAGCCATCACATGGAAACTTGCAAGATGATGTGATGAAGTCCAGACTGAAAGACAGGCTTGATACTGATATCTCTAAATGGAAAGAGACCTGGCACTCAGCATAAACATTTTACTAGACACTTTTACTTGTATTGTCTTTTATTATTATTGAATTGAATGGTATCAGTCAATATGGGGAGGGAAAACCCTGTGTATTCTGCACCAGGATCAGGGGAATTCCTGTTGTATACGGGACACCACACAGGAAGGTATGACCACTCTGACATGTTAGCCAAGGTAGCCTCATTACCACCAGACAAAATGCCGATAGGCACAGTATCTGTATCGGCTGGGAATGACAATGAAAGGTGAAAGGTGCAGATTGTTATATTAGCAGAACACTGCTTCTATGGTATTATGTAAAGGGTTGTTTATACTACATGGACCTGTTCAAATCAAATGTTATTTGTCACATGCACCGAATATAACAAGTGTAGACTTTACTGTGAAGTGTGTACTTGCGAGCCCTTTCCCAACAATGCAGTTAAAAAGTAAGAAAATTAACAAATAGATAAAAATATACAAATAGATAAAAAAAAAAAAGCTTACTACATTTGAATCTTATTAAAACACCTAGCTTCAAATATCTACATAAATTCAGCAATTGCATTCTTCTCTTATTACTCTGTAAGCTACTGAACTATGCAAAGCTTCCTCCGGCATCTCGCCATACATCTGCCTGTAGTTATTGAACTCAACATGTTTGCTTGTTTTGATTGAGTGGGGGGAAACAGCTGTGAGCAAGGTTCTGACAGATAGGTGTGTCTTGGTGGTGGCAAGGACACACCCAAGAAACACCCATATCAAACCACACCCCCAAACCAACTCACGTTTGACTTCTGTCATGGTCACCAGCATTCTTTGAGCAGCAAGCCAAAAAACGAGGCAATATCAGCGGGTGCAGTTCCCCTAAAGGTCTAAGCTGTTGGAGGGGGGGAGGTTCTACTAAGCTAACATGGAATTGTTTTAAGATGATAATTTATCTATTTCATTTTGAATTTTAGGACCCATTTAGGTATAAAAAAAATACTGAATTTGGCCTTGCCCGCTGCCACTATAGCCCATAGAAATGCATTGGATAACACTTAAATGGCAAAAAAGACACTTGTGGGGGTTGTAGAGCAAAACTGCGAACACCATCGTGTTTGTGAGAGTCTCCCCTTTCCAAAAAGTAGCGTTTGGACGCTACAGACGTTTTCGTGGTCTGACAAACACCTCTGTAGCTCTGCCACCTTCCACAGCAGATACGGAAGGCTGACATAGGTAGATGTGGTGGATTGAGACGCAGCTCATGCAAAAAAAGATATCTCAAGCTTAAACTGACAGATTTGGATGGGGATTTTTTTATTATGTTACTTAGATTGACGCATGGGTGCTTCAATATTAATGGAGGGAAGTGAAGTGGGCGGGGAACCGTTGGGCGACATGGGCGAGGGAGCGTGAACAGGGCGGGACCAAAGTTAGGGAAAGCTGAACTTTATGCAAATACTCCACAATATCGCGACGCTATTGGATTGGCTGTTGATACCTAGCACTACCTAGCCTGCTTGCTAGCACCCATATGAGAGCGAAGCTAGAGTGGGCTATCTGACTTAACGCGTTATGTGGAAATCCCCTCTGAGAATTCGAGATAGCATGCATACTTGCTCAGTTTCGCCAAGTTCTACAAAGTGCAAACCTAGATCGATTGTTCAAGTTATGATTTACTGTAACATAGTAGAAGATGAAGACCACTTTGTCAAACTTGTCAGGAGGACACGCCACCATGAGAAGATCCTTCATTCAGGCCTTGAAAAGAACTTGACTTATACCAGAGGCGTCAATTGGGTATACCCTAGCTCAACACCAACAATTGAAAATAGGCTACTAAAATCATTCCAATCCCGATTAAAAGGCAAATGTAGTTTAGCGGTATATACAGGTGACTTTAGGACCATGCAGGGAGCGGGAGGGAAGGCTGATTGTATGGCTGGCTGGCTGTATGGAGAGTGCATTGATGCAGCTGCAGGGAACAGCGCAGAGGTAAATATGGCTGTAGCCGATGGCTTTGGCTAGGTAACTGCTGTTTGACTTGACATTAAACTAAACTAGAGTTTTAATCCCAGTGCTGAGCTAGTGCGTAGCAGCTAATTCTTGTATGACATGTTTGTAGAATGTTTAGTCCCCTATTGACTGAGGTGAATGCAACAAGATGGTAATTGCTGGTGTAAATGTTGCTTGTTTTTGCTGTTCTCCAAATTGCATTTTGGAGTTTTTTAATTGTGTAGAAATGCAGTAAATTAGCTTTATTTTATTTTTATATTTTTGCTGATGGGGCAGAATGTTTCTGGCTGCAGAATGTGAGGTGCATGTACAACAGTGCAAAAGCAAAATGTTTCTCTGCTAGGTTTGTGTAGTGTACTCTTAATTGGTTCCAGGTAAGTCTGATGTAGCATATGACTTGTAACTGAGAAAGAAACATACAGGAGTGATGATAACAAGCTATTTTTATTGACTGCTGTTCACAGCCTATATGTCATGGTTCACACCTACGGTAGGCCTACTAGTTAGGTAGACATTTCACAAGACATTCATATTGTATGGTTGCTTGTGATTGTCTCGTTTCCTCCATCACTCCTATGCTGATCATTCCATTGCATCCTTGGGCTACAAAAAAACATTTAGGGCACAGTAATTAGTAATTAATCACATTTCTAATCTCAGGCATATTTGTTGATCTGCAACTAAATTGCCTATTAAGAAATGATAAAGGGTGAAATTAGCATACCTTGCCGCCAATTTCACGGCTCTTGGCTCTAAGCTTGTTGACCTGGGACTCAGCGATGTCAGCACGCTCCTGAGCTTCCTCCAGCTCATGCTGCACCTTCCTGTACCTGGACAGGTGAGTGTTGGCCTGCTCTTCCTGTAAGACAAACCAGCTTGTGGTCAAATGTAATGTATATACTGTAAGCCTAATTATAAAACATCATAATGGCTCATACCTGCTTATAACAAGTTATAAAGCATTATACCTGCAGGCCGTATGTAAAGTGTATTAAATGTTTCCAAAGTAACATCTAGAATGCATAATTGAAATTTTTATGCCATTACTAAATCATAAATTTTACTTACAGCCTCCTCAGCTTGTCTCTTGTAGGCCTTCACTTTGAGCTGCAGCTTGTCCACCAGATCCTGGAGCCTGTTCACATTCTTCTTATCCTCCTCAGTCTATAGAAAGTAAAGGAAGATTATGGTTTATGGGTCAGGATTACTCTTTACAGAGTTCTGCTCTTCTCATCAGATGTTGAAAGTACCTGGTAAGTGAGCTCCTTGACTCTCCTCTCATATTTGCGAACACCTTTAATAGCATCAGCTGAAAGTCTCTGTTCAGCATCAACTTCACCCTCCAGTTCACGGACCTTGAATTAAATAATTTGATTATAACCAAGTTACTACAGTGCATTTCCATTGTCATCGGTGGAGTCATTAGTAGTCAGTGTGATTGTTTTCATTAAGATGATGTAGTTAGAGTTTACCCTAGATTCCAGTTTCTGGAGTTGTTTCTTTCCGCCCTTCATGGCCAGGTTCTCAGCCTCATCCAGACGGTGCGCCAGGTCCTTGACTGTGACCTCCAGGTTCTTCTTCATTCTCTCCAGGTGACTGCTGGTGTCCTGCTCCTTCTTCAGCTCCTCTGCCATCATGGCAGCCTGCCACCATGGCATTTCAAGTAGAAAAGGATATAGATGTTACTAATCGGCAAGTACATTTTGCTGTAAGAGTTTACACATATAGGCTATAAGGACTCACATCAGTAATAGCCTTCTTGGCCTTCTCCTCTGCATTTCTTGCTTCCTGGACCGTGTCTTCCATTTCACCTTGGATCTGTGTAAGGTCAACCTCCAGCTTCTTCTTGGTGTTTATAAGGCTGGTATTCTGAGAATGCAGCAGTCCAACACGCTCACTGGCATCAACCAGCTCCTGCTCGGCCACTTTGCGGCCTCTCTCTGTTTGCTCCAGGGCAGCTCTCAGTTCTTCAATCTCAGCCAGCATCAGGTTATTCCTGCGCTCCACCATGGCTACTTGCTCCTTCATATCATCTGCAGCACGGACAGCATCATCAAGGTGCAGTTGGGCATCCTGAGATCAAAGGAAGAAGATTCAATTATATCATATTTGTTTCACAGCCTTCAAGTAGATGTTAAAAATCCATACCTTGAGTGCTCCCTGGACGTTCCTTAGCTGTTTCTGGCTTTCAGCAGCCTGGCGGTTGGCATGGCTCAGCTGAATCTCCATCTCATTGAGGTCTCCCTCCATCTTCTTTTTGATTCTCAGGGCATCATTCCTGCTCCTGATCTCAGTGTCCAAAGTGCTCTGCATGGTGTCCATCACCCTCTGGCTGTTCCTCTTGATCTGCTCCATCTCCTCATCCTTCTCTGCCAGCTTCCTGTCAATTTCACTTTTAACCTGTGTTAGCTCCAGCTGAACACGGAGAATCTTGGATTCCTCATGCTCCAGTGTAGCCTTATAATAGAATAGAGTAATAGACAAGTTACAATAAAATTTGAAACATAAGGAATACAGTGGAATGTATTGTACCTACTTCAAATAGGCATTTTATCTATATTCTCTTTTACCTCTGCTTCTTCCAGGGCAGTCTGGAATTCTGACTTCTCAATCTCCACTGTCTTCTTTCCCTTCTCCAGCTCATGGATGGTCTTTCCAGACTCACCAATATGTTCAGTCAGGTCAGCGATTTCCTCTTTGAGAAACATGGCAATAGTGGTTATCACACAAGATGGTAAATTAGATTGTTTAAATAATATTCACTCTTAGGAATATTTCAAGAAACTGTTAGAAACAGCCTGTATTGGTTTATTGAATGTAGACATTAAGTTTGTTGCAGAATGTTTGGAACATACGTTGCAGGTTCTTGTTCTCCCTTTTCAGTGTCTCCAGGTGGTCCAAACATTCTTCATAGGAGTTCTTCATCTTGAACAGCTCAGTGCTGAGAGAGCGAGCCTCTTTCAGAGACCCATCTAGCTCTGCCTGGCCCTCCTCGTACTTCTGCTTCCACTCTGCCAGAACCTGGAAGTGTCATAAACAAGTTAATAAAAAAATGAGAGATGGATTTCATTCATTTTTCCTTGTTATCTTGTCTTTCATGTTACCTTGTCAAAGTTCCTTTGTTTCTTGTCAAGCTGGGCAGCCATAGCATTAGCTCTCTCTACATCAATCATGAGATCCTCCACTTCACCCAGCAGTCTCTGCTTGGTCTTCTCCAGAGAAGCACATTTGGAGTTCGTTGCCTCAATTGTCTCTTGTGCATCTTGCAGACGCTGGGCAAGCTTTTTCCTGTAAAGGTAAAGAACATTTTTCTTCTCAGATGTTTCCCATTGTAGGTATTTTGGTCATCATGAAAATGTAGAACGTGTTTAATTACTTGGCATCCTCAAGCTCCTCAGTGCGCTGAATGGCATCAGTCTCATATTTGGTTCTCCACTGAGCGACCTCGCTGTTGGCCTTGGACAAGGCACGCTGCAGCTCAGCCTTGGCCTCCTGCTCTTCCTCAAACTGCTCCCGGAGCAGATCACAGTCATGGCGGGCTGACTGCACACCATGGGCTAGGGCATTTTTGGCCTTTCAGTAGATTTGTAGAGAAATAATCCTTTCTTTAGAATTTGTTCAAAAACTATTTGTACACATTTTATGTATTTCTTTGCAAACCTAACAAGTGATTTATCCTACTTTCACTTCTTCCTCGATGTGCCTCTTGAGTTCCTCAACCTGCTGTGTGAAAGCTTGCTTGCCCCTAATCAGCTGGGAAACCAAAGCTTCTTTTTCCTCCAGCTGACGCCCGTATTCACCTGATTAAAGATGCGATGTATGAAATATGTTTCTAGCAGATATATTGATGATGTTTGTGTGGGTAAGTAGTGTTTCTTTGCACACTCACCATTCTCTGTCTGCAGTCTTGCCCTTAGCACACCTATGTCATTCAATTGGCACACATGTTCATCGTTCTTGCATTTGAGCTCACTCATTTGATCCTCAAGAGAGCGGCACATTTTCTCATAGTTTCCCTGAAACAAGTACAGTTTTAGATGTCTTGAAGTTATTTGATCATGACTTGTTTTTAGACTTCAATATAAATATTTTATTTTTACCTTTGATTTGGAAACAGACTCCAGGTTGCTGGAGAGGTCATCAATCTCCATTTTGAATTCACTCTTTTCCTTCTCCAACTTCTGCTTGACACGCTGGAGGTTGTCTATTTGCTCTCCCAGTTCTGCCACAGTGTCGGCCTGCTTCTTACGGAGAGCAGCAGCGGTGGCCTCATGCTGCAGGGTGGACTCTTCAAGATCACGACGCAGCTTCTGGAACTCAGCCTCACGCTTCTTGTTCATCTCAATCTGGGCAGATGTTGCACCTCCAGCTTCTTCAAGCCTCTCACTGATCTCCTCAAGTTCCCTGGAGAGATCAGACCTCTGCTTCTCAACCTTTGCCCGAGCAGCACGTTCAGCCTCAATCTCCTCCTCCAGCTCTTCAACCCGAGCCTGAAATACGTGGTCGTATACATTTAGCTGTTGCAAAGCCAACTTGAAAATATTTTTTCGTATAGAATTCAATCAGTTTTGTTAAGTGCTTTGTCTGAATCAACCTGGAGTTCCTTGATCTTCTTCTGGAGCTGAAGCCCAAGTGCCTGTTCATCCTCAACCTTGTTAAGAAACTGGCTTATCTCAAAGTCCTTCCTATGTACCGTTGAACACAAGAACAGGAAATGGAGATGAAATGGAAGTACTTTTGGTAAAATATAATAACTTGCTTTATTATTGACCAGCAACTTACTTCTTAATCTTCTCCTCTGACTGCTGCCTGTCATTTTCCAGATCCATAATGGATTCCTGGGACAGTTTCAGATCTCCTTCAAGCTTTCTCTTGGCTCTCTCAAGGTCCATGCGGAGTTTCTTCTCTTGCTCCAGAGATCCTTCTAGCTGTTGTAACAGAGAGCAGGCATTATTGTACTCTGTGTGGTTCCACCTAAATGTGTATACACTCTTAGAAAAAAGGGTTCCAAAAGGGTTTTTTCTGCTGTCGCCACAGGAGAACCCTTTTGAGTTCCATGTAGAACCCTCTGTGGAAAGGACCAAAAAGGGTTGTTCAAAGGGTTCTCCTATGGGGACAGCTGAAGAACCCTTTTAGATTCTAGATTGCACCTATTTTTCTAAGAGTGTACAGATAATGCACTTCTAGTTATGACCTATTTTCACTCCCTCAATTCAGTTAGTTTTTTTGCTCACATCATCCACTTGCTGTTCAAGCTTGGTCTTGGCTTTGGTCAGAGTGTTGACTTTGTCTTCCTCTGCCTGGAGATCATCAAGGGTCTGCTGATGCGCCTCTTGGAGGGCTTTCTTTTCCTTGGTCAACTTGGCAATTATTTCGTCTTGGGAGGCCATCTCCTCTACCAGGTTTTTAACCTAAGTAGAATCACGTAATGTTTAATTAACATGGTTGCCTGTATCTATAGAAATGCACAATGGTTGCATTGAAAAATACATAACCTTGTTTTCGGTGGCATGTTTCTCCTTCTCCACTTTGGCCAAGGTGAGCTCCAAGTCATCAATGTCTTTCTTCAGCTCAGAGCATTCATCCTCCAGCTTCCTCTTCTTGGCAGTCAGTTCAGCATTAATCTCCTCCTCATCCTCCAGCCTCTCAGTTATCTCTTTGAGTTTGGCTTCAAGCTGGATCTTACTCTTAATGAGCCCTTCACACCTTTCCTCAGCATCAGTGAGGTTCTCACTTTCCTAGAGTTATGATGAAATGATATTTAATTAATTGTTTCACAATTATACTCTTAAATATAAACAAGGATATACACTTTACATTTTACTAAACCACTCCTTCAGCTCTACTTACGGATGCTACTTGTAATGCCAGGGCATTTTTTTCATTCAATAGAGCAACCATCTTCTCCTCAAGCTCTTTCTTCTTGGACAATGCCTTTGACAGATCCTCCTTTGTTTTTTCAAAGGTCTCCTTCATTTGGGCCATCTCCTTCTCAGTTTCAGCACTCTTTAGAAGAGGCTTGATCTTGAAGTACAGCTTCATCCATGGCCAGGTTTTGACGTTCATGAATGAGCGGATGTTGTATTGGATGGCGAAAGTAGACTCTCTGTCAAAAGCAAGCAAAGAAAACAATAGTTGGATCAAGTACATTTTAAATGTAACAACTGTGAAAACCTATCACGATAGATAGACAATTCCTTCCAGCAAAGCCTTTACCTCCTCTCGATCATCTTCATATACTCCCTCCTCATGAGGAAGCCTCTGCAGAGAGCCTGAGTCATGGTCACCAGAGAAGCCAGTTTCTCATCTCGCATCTCCTCCAGCGTACCCAGAAGACCAGCTTTGAAGAACACCTGCAATTCAGGTTTTATTAGAAAAATATTATAATAGAGGTTCAAAGTGCGGTTTAGCACCCTTAAATGAGTAATCTAAGAAACCCAAAACTAAGATATTGCGAAACAGTGTCAGATGCTCGATTAGGTTCTGGGGGGAGATGTATCTAAAAAGATACTAATGAGACTAGCGAAGTGTCCCCCCACCCTTTCTGAAAACGTTCCGCTTCATTGCTTGAAATCCCCGCCTCCAGTTTAAGCACCACCTTCACCCAATCCTGATACGTCCAGATAACCAGTGATGTAAAACAACTGTTGTTTGTTAGTTGTCGCATCCCAGTCTTTTGACAGACGTAACAATACCATTTTTTGTTTACTTAGTCTGTCCACGAGAGATTATTAAGGAGTAATGTTTTACCTTGGTGTGCCCAAACTTGTACTGAGTGTGGTCCACATCAATGGACCCCAAGAGCTTCTCTGAAGCCTTCTTGTTGTCCATGAATGTTCCCTCTGGGATGACCTTGGCATTCAATACTTTGTATCTGAAAGAAAAGATAGTTCAACTTCATCAATCAATCCTTCGCAGTATCCACAAACAGCTGTGTTTGATTTCACAATGTCTGTGACCACTGACGATGGCTGACCTTTCAAGCATATTGTGTATTTACCTCTGCTTAAAGTCACCATATTGGATTCTGCTAGGGAAGCCCTTTCTGCAGATTCTGATACCTTCCAGCACACCATTACATCTCAGCTGGTGGATGACCAGGAAGTTCTCCATCAGACCTTGGAGACAAATGTAATGTTTTACTCATTAAGTTCCATAAAAATTAAAACAAGGTTCTGCTTCACAGGGTTTAAAACAATTTCACCCAAATTACAAAATGACACGTTGGTTTCCTTACCCTGTAAGCAGTCTATCGAGAAGGTATGACAGCAATCCATGCTTTGGTTTAGTTTCCCTGGCACTATTTCCACATGCTAACATTTGAGCATTTGTCGCACAAATCCCATTCAAGTCATGGGACTGATATTAGCATTCTTTGCGCATCATGTCCAAATAATCCGAAAGTATCTAAAATTGATTGTGAAGCTCAACAAAGTCACTTATAGATGATTTTAACATGATGAGTGAAAAATGCATATATCGGTTGCATGACTTGAATGGGATTTGTGCACAAATTCTAAAACGTTAGCATGTGGAAAAAGTGCCAGGAAAACTAAACCAAAGCATGGATTGCTGTTATACCTATTCGATAGACTGCGTACAGGGTAAGGAAACCAATGTGTCATTATGTAATTTGGGTGAACTATCCCTTTAAGCACTTACCTGGTGTCTTTGATTCGTTGGGAATCAAACAGCGCACAAAGTGTGGATGAGTGCTCCTCAAATTGGTCATCAGCTTGCCCAAGTTTTCCTGAGAGTTTGTAGGTTTAAACACACTTAAATCGACAGTAAGCATTTTCCTTGCAAACTCCAAACTCAATGTAGAATATCAAATGTTCCAGGGTTTAGAACAAAAGCAATTTCAGATCCATGCACACATTAAACATATTATAATAGGAATACAATTATAATATTTAAACTCTTCAATTATAATGTAATATCCTCTCCATTTTTTATGAACACATACCCTGAATAGAGCAGACACTGTCTGGAAGGAGCCACCCTTCTTCTTGGCGCCACCTTTCTTGCTTGCAGCCTCTTCGTATATTCAAAAGATAGATTGTAGTATTACAGGTATGCAAAATGTGTTAGTATTTATAGAATGTACTAATGCCATAACTAGGTTTTATGTAAATGTACAAAATCTGTGTGAACAGTGAACACTACCATCAGCTGCAGGTGCTACATAGAGATAAGCCAACAGTTTGACTGAGGACTTCTGGTAGAGCTGCACAACAGAGTCGTTCAGGGGGTCCTTGTTCTTGTCCAGCCAGCCTGTGATACTGTATTCCACAGTACCAGCATAGTGCACCAGGGCAAAGTGGGCCTCCTTTCCTGCCTCCTTTCCTTTGGCAGGCTTTGGCTTTTGGAAGGCGGCAGTTTTGCCAAGATGCTGTTCATTCAGCTTGGTCTTGAAGGTAGTGTCTGAAGCCTTCGGGAACATGCACTCCTCTTCAAGGATGGAGAAGATGCCCATTGGCTGTTGAGAACAGAATAATTTTAATAGATACCAGGCTTTTTTTTAATAGTAAAATATTGGTCTGATTAAAGGAATTGTTATTATACGTACCTTCTCAATAAGCTCAATGCAGGCAGCCAAGTCCATACCAAAGTCAATGAACTCCCATTCAATTCCCTCTTTCTTGTACTCCTCTTGCTCCAGTACAAACATGTGGTGGTTGAAAAACTGTTGCAGTTTCTCATTGGTGAAGTTGATACAAAGCTGCTCCAAGCTGTTGTACTGAAGTAAATAAAAAAAATTCAGTAGTGCATTAAGTCATGCAGTTAGTGTAAATTGGAAGAAAAATAAATGTGTTTTCCACTCACATCAAAGATTTCAAATCCAGCTATGTCCAGCACACCAATGAAGAATTGTCTGGCCTGCTTTGTGTCCAACATCTCATTGATACGGACAACCATCCACAAGAACATTTTCTCATAGACAGATTTACAGAGGGCCATGACCGAGTTGCCGACCTGTGGCACAGTCTGCCCCTTGGTCACCATCTCATTCCCGACCTTCACTCTGGGGTAGCACAGAGCTTTGAGCAAGTCAGCGGAGTTCAGGCCCATGAGGTAGGATATTTTATCAGCCACTAAGATGGAAGGTAAAATGGTCAGACAATTTCAATCACCATCTTCAGTAAATAGTACTGCTTGATTCTGATTCCATGCATGTAATGTATACCAGTTTGACAACGCCAGAGATTCCCGGTCGCTGTGTATTAATTGTTTTTCTATTTACCCTCAGTGCCATCAGGCTCTGCCTGCTCCTCACGCTGCTTCTGCTTGAACTTCATTGCCCCATGATGCATCACAGAACCAGTCAGCTTGAAGATGCCCAGCTTCTCATCAGCAGTGAAGCCCAAAATGTCAATAGCCTCCTGTGATTTAAAGCAGAGGTGAGCTAAGATTACACAAAATGGACTTCCTTGGAAAGCAATCTACTTTCCATCTTATCCTGGAAGAACATTATACATCACTTTTTTAAAGTATGCTTCCAGAAAGAAAGGGATGATTGTATGCAACAAATACACTGAACAAAAATATAAACGCAACATGTAAAGTGTTGGTCCCATGTTTCATGAGCTGAAATAAAAGATCCCAGAAATGTTCCGTACACACAAAAAACTTTTTTTTTTTTAAGGAAGGTATCTTTGACCAACAGATGCATATCTGTATTCCCATTCATGTGAAAACCATCGATTAGGGCCTAATGAATTTATTTCAATTCACTGATTTCCTTATATGAACTGTAACTCAGTAAAATGTTTGAAATTGTTGCATGTTGCGTTTATATTTTTGTTCAGTATATATGACATAGATATGATTCATAATGGTAAGCACAAACAATTATGACATTAAATAAAATATGTAAATGTGGCTTACGTCAGTTGCAATGAACTCGTCCACATCACAGATACTCTTGACGGTGACTTCACCTTGACTGAGCATGGGATAGTCATAGGGGTTGGTGGTGATCAGAAGTGCATCTGGAATATGAACACATGTTTAGCAGTGACATTATTAAGGTCTTTTTGTAGCCCTGTTGGCCCTATGCATTCCATGTCAGATTTCTATATTTGTCTCTCACCCAGCAATTGTGGCTGGTGTCCAGTCATGAGCTGATAGAAGATGTGGTAGCTTCTCTCAGCAGACAGCTGGAATGTCACTCTGGACTTCTCCAGCAGATCTGCAATTCAAGTATAGCATGGTTGAGAGTGTGTTGTATAACAACATTTTTAGACATAAATAAAAAGTAAGTAAAAAACTATACTTACAAGTTTCAATATCGGCTGAAGCCAGCTTTCCGGTAGTTCCAAAATGGATTCTGATGAATTTACCCTGAAGAGTCGAGACATTGTTAGTATCTCTTCAAGATTTTAACTAGCAGCAAGTAATGTGAAGCTGCATTTTAACATTACTTACAAAACGGGAGGAGTTGTCATTCCTCACGGTCTTGGCATTACCATAGGCCTCCAGTAGAGGGTTAGCTGCAATGATTTGATCCTCCAGCGACCCCTAGAGATGACATGATATAGCAAACTTTATACATCTACTTACATAGACTTCCTTAACAGGGGTGTCATGGGCCCAATCCCAAATGGAACCTTAGATCCTGTGCCCTATGCACTTATGTATATCTGAGATGATTTGATTGGTATAAGTGATACGGTGAAACTTCCACCTAGCCTATCAGAGGGCAAGATGGAGCTATTACCATATTGATTGCACCTGTCAAATCCTCTCAGATCTGAACAAGTGCATAGGGCATAGAGTCTAGGGGTCCATTTGGGATTGGATCATACCATTGAAACTGAGGGGCATTGTGTACAGCTGTGATTGAGTGGTAACACTCCCAGACAAATGTCACATGTACAAAGACCAGGGTTCAATCCCTGCATCCATCCTTCCCACTATTTTTCCCACATGCCTGTATCCCCTTTTCGATTCATAATTGCCTAAAATATCAAAATACCCTTAACATATACTGTATATATAAAATATATACTTTTTTTACATTTTATTTTTTTCAATAAAGAACTACTTTCAGTTTTATGCATTTGTACAAAACAAATATAAGCCTAAACAATTAAATTTATTTTATGCATAATTAATTTAAAGATATTAAATTTGGTCATCAGTACGCCCACAAAAAAATAAGCAATGTCATGATGCCTTGGCCTAAAATCAACATACTTTAATCTCAACATAAATGTATATACAAAATGTCTCACCTTGATTTTGCCAGCAGTAGCTGCTGCTGCTTGTTCTTTCTTGCCTCCAGCCACTGCGATTGTCGCAAAGTACTGGATGACACGCTTGGTGTTCACAGTCTTTCCTGCACCGGATTCTCCGCTGGGGAAAGGAAACTCTCAAAATTAACACATTACACAGTTGTTTTCTGTTAAAAATGATTGAAGACTAAAGACTTAATGAAGTTGATGCATTTAATATGGTACACAGACACAGGTGCTTACGTAATGAGGATTGACTGGTTTTCACGATCTGCAGTAGGGAAAAATATAAAAGATTAGCCTGTGTTGATGAGGTAATAATAAAGAGGCCATCTCTTTTCAGTTAATTTAACCTGTCCCACTACCAAAAAGTGAGCATACCAGTGAGCATGAACTGATAGGCATTATCAGAGATTGAGAAGATGTGGGGTGGGGCCTCAATTCTCTTTTTCCCTCTGTATGCGTTCACAACCGACTGGTCGTACACTGGGAGCCACTTGTAGGGGTTCACCGTGACGCAGAACAGCCCAGAGTAGGTCTGTAGTAGAGGAGAATAATCTTTGTTAACATTTCAACTCTCCAATAATTTGTGTATTGACTGATAGATAATATTTGACTTTAAACTCACGTAGATCATCCATGCTGCATAACGCTCTTTGAGGTTATACAGAACAGTGGCCTCATTGAGGTGGGTCATCATGGCCATGTCCTCGATTTTATCATACTTTGGAGGGTTCATGGGGTGGATATCATCTTCTTTTACAGTGATAGTCTGTGCAAAAAAAAGAAACATAAAATAATTGTACTTACCTTGTATGTACTAATAACTTTTTATCAGAGTGATGAGACAGAGATAAATTATATAACTTACTTGCCCACATAGAGTTTTGACAGTGGCTTTGCCACCCTCTCTACCCTGGAGAACCCCTTTAAGGTACATCTCTTTGGGCTCAACCACAAAGAAAGCTGATTTTGCATCAAAGGGAGCGGTCTGGGCCATAATCCTCTCCTTTTCCGGCTTGCGGAGGAAAATGGCCGCCTCGCCAAAGCACTGCATGTCTGAATCCCCCATGGTGGCTCTTTACTGCTAGAACGTAATGTATTGTTGTTTACAAAGACTCAGATACCAACAAAATATAAACAATGGAGAAATAATGTACGACCTTAGATTTTGCCTTATGATAGGGTAAGTCAGTTGTACTAAGCTCATGAGTTATAGGTTATAGGCCATTCATCGAGAATCAGTGGGTACATTAGTTGAAATGATAATTGAACAATATGTTACAGATGGGGCCTTTAAGAGTTGGAATCTTTCACATCATTAACGTCTGAAAAGGACAAGGTAACCCCACTGTAAAGTATTGACTTCACTCAAACTAACGGGAATCATTGAACAGAACTTTAGTGGTGGTCGGACACATTGACAGCATACACCATTGTATCTCATGTATGTATTCTCCTCAGCTGGTATTCCACCACTAGGTGCCCGTAATAGGCTACACTACAACACCGTACATTAAGTTGCCCTTATGGTATGTACTATGGTAACTGCAGATACACAAACTGAAGGTAACTAAAGGTACACAAGACAATTATTGAATTGTAATGGAAGGACCTTAGCAAAATTAGTTACTATTAATTAACAGGCTTAGTATATGTGATAACACAAAAATATAACATTTTATAACTACATGTTATATTCACAAAGTAAAGTGTTTTTACCTTAATGGACACCTACAGTGCAGGAATGTCTCTGGCAGCCTACTTAAAAAGAAAGTCTCTGGCAGAATACTTCAAAAGAAAAAGCATTTACTTAGTATTTCGTAGGTTCCTCTATATGTTTAAATGTATAATATTAGATCACATAATGCAATATAGAGTAACTATCAATGAAGATAGTGGTTACGAATTTAGTTTAAAAAGTTATAATCAAAGTAATAAAAAAAAACGAATTTAAATGTGCTTGTTATCTATGAGCAAGGCAAGATTAAACTGAAGTAGCATCTTAGTTGGTGCATGACTCACCTTAGCTGGGTCCCTGTCTGTCCTTGGAGGAGAAGTGTCGCTTCTTATATAGAGGGACAAGTGCTCTCAGGAGATTACTACTTGATCTCGATTTGGTCATGTATTTTTGCTTTGTTTGGCAGTAACCTCTAGACCTTTAGTTGATGTGTGACTGCATGATGACATATCCCATGATTTATCTCACGTATAATCATGTGCATTTGTGGCTATTGTTTTGAATTATTCATTTAATTGATGTTGACCTTAAATATTATAATATAGATATTATTATATATTATATAGATATTATTTTGTATGTGTTCTCTTTTTTTTAGTGGTGTGCAGTAAAAACACTGACTCGACCCATGGTGAAATTTCTACAAAATCTCAAGTGAAGTGTGAGAGGTTTTTGTCACTCAACAGGGGAGAATAGAACTGGAGGAGAACCTGATTCAAGGTCAGGTCAATCTATGGTTCTAAGTTGTGTGTAATACATCTTTTTTTAATGCTTATTGGCACAAAATAATATCCTAATTTAGCTGTGACATCTTGAAATGTCATTGGTATACTGTTGCAGTAGCCTTGCATGTCTTAAATTGTTATAAACAAAGGAAATGTGTATAGTAATGCCAATGAGCTTGAAGGAAAGGGGGGTGAAGGGTGCCAAGAGATTATTGTTCCACACCACAGGGCCAACAGCTGTTGCTCATCACATGAAGGAGGATGAGACAACCTCCCAATGTGGGCCCATCTTAAGTCATTGAGTGTTTAAAATCGTTGCGTTTCTGCTCCCTCGAGATTTACAGGTTTTCCCTTTGCATGTAAAGTCACATTACACATTGCGTGTTTGTTTTATTTTTGTATGTGTTAAATCTTTCACCAAATAGCATTACTTTGAGACAGGGCCAGCTGTTTTGTAGTAGAAAATTGACCCTGTAAAATTGATCCTGTATCTTGAATAGGTATTACAATAAATATTAAACTATTAGTAGGGTTAACATTCAAGTTACATGCATGTTTGTGTTGAGAACCATTATTATGCTAAGAACACACAGCTCAGATTGTAGGTCCCGTATAGCTCAGTTGGTAGAGCATGGTGCTTGCAACGCCAGGGTTGTGGGTTCGATTCCCACGGGGGGCCAGTATAAAAAAAACATGTATGCACTCACTAACTGTAAGTTGCTCTGGATAAGAGCGTCTGCTAAATGACTAAAAATGCAAAAATTGAGAACATTTAACTAAAATTAGATCTGAATCTGAAGATGTACTGTAGAGATTGACAGTTGTTTAAGAAAGCATCAGGGTGACCTTTCTCCCACTGTTTTGCCAAGAATGTGCCATGCAGTCGCCAAGGAATCTAATAGTGCGATTTAAAACCAAGAGAAGGTTGCCAGAAGAATACTTTTGATTTCCATTGGAAAGGTGATCTGATCTGAGCAGTGGATAGGAGGGTTAAGAAATTCTCAAGTGGTTACCCACGGGGTATAATGGTCTCCTGTATTCAATAAAAATGTGATACTTGATATCTCCTTTGAAACACTTGCTTTCTTATTAGAACATATTTCAAATATTGCAAGCGGCTTGGTTGTGTTCTGCAAATGTCAACATGCTTAGAAGGCTGATTGTGTTTTCAGCACAGGAGGTTGGTGGCACCTTAATTGAGGAGGACTGGCTAGGCATGGTTTCCATGTGTTTGATGCCATTCCATTTGCTCCGTTCCAGCCATTATTATGAGCCGTCCTCCCCTCAGCAGCCTCCACTGGTTTTCAGGGACCTTGATGTCCTACTGTGAAATTCGACAACTTGAGCTTCCACATTTGTCAAGCAGCAGCAACTGTGCACAGGGTAGTAGACCGTGAGTGTCAAGTAAGTAACAACAGTAGTATTTTGTACTATTATTTAGGGTTTGTTTTATTAATTTATTGTTTTGAATGATTTTATTATACCTGCTTATTAACATGTGCAATTTGAAAGTTTGAAAAGGATGTATATGGCTGAGTCCAGGGATGAGAAATACTCACAAACAAATCAACATACACCGAAGAAAAATGTAGACATTTTTTTAAATAATCAGTTTAATTATTAACAGTTTATATTGAATTATATTTGTTTGTTTTTCATATTGGAGATGTTGGAAAATTAAGTTTCTCTTTCATCCCCTCCTTTTAAATATTTGCTTTTCATGGTAAAGAACTAGACTGAACAAAAATATAAACACAACATGTAAAGTGTTGGTCCCATGCTTCATGAGTTGAAATAAAAGATCCCAGAAATTTTCCATACACACAAAAAAAAAAAAAATCAACCTATGCAGGATGCAACAAGACTACCTTCTTTAGGTCAAGATATCTGTCTAGTCTCCTCCACTGTAACACTGCCTTTATTGTGCAACTGCTTCCTTACAACTGTTTGATGTTGATTAGGTGAGGCAGATGAAGAGATGTGGCGCAATGGCAAAAGGAGTCGATCCCTGACTGTCTTGGGTGCACAGTGAGTCTTGGCGACAGGCCAGTCCACATGGACATTTCGTTGAGCTGGTGATATCCCCTTGATTTTGAATGGTTTCCCTGTTAGTGGATAGTTGAAGTTGTGGCATTTTATGTTTAATTTACATATTGCTCTCCATCCAGAGATCTGTTTATTTATGTTCCACTTAAAGTGGCAATCTTCAACTGCTATATATATTTTTTTACTTTTAAATGAATTATATATATCCATTGATTCTTGAAGAATATAACTTATTAATGCTTCATGAGCTTAGGTCAAATGTCTAACCCTAAAATATGAGCTTGTTTTACTAAATGTTTTGTAAACAATGTAATTGTAAACAAACACGTTATAGCTTTGTCGTTGAAATTCTTACACAGGGACACTCAAGGTCAATCTTAAATGAATCATTGTTTATTGTCAGCGCGCTGGAGAGGTTCCAAAAAACGTAAAGCACCATAGTGAACGTCTGTCAGAAGCTCTAACGGGGCAGTCCCGTTAGTTCCCTTATATACTGACAAGTCATATTTGCATGATTTAGCTTATTCATAATTAATCATTGCTTCATTCATGTGACCGACCATTACTGGGTCATGCATGTGACAGACCAATACCTCACAAGGCTTCTTCTCTCTAAGCTGAGACCTTGAAACTGAGATATCCTTTCTCTAAACAAGGTTCTGGGCATACTGCCAAATTGCAGATACTGATAGTGAGGATTTGTTCAATCAGTCACTCGCATGAACACAGAAAATGGTTTATAGAAAAGCACAAACATAGAACATAGAAATTGGTAAATAGAAAAGCACAAATATAAACATGTCCATCACAGCTTCAAAACATGGTTAAAACTATCATTTTGATCTCATGGATAGTCAGTCCTTGCATCCATAGCCCCGTATATGAATTTGAAAGTGCTTACATTTCTCCAGCTCCATCCCTTAGTCCAGTGTTTCCCAACCCTGGTCCTCGAGTACCCCCAACAGTAAAATTTTTTATTGTAACCCGGGACAAGCACACCTGATTCAACTTGTCAACTAATCATCAAGCCCTCAATGAGTTGAATGAGGTGTGTTTGTCCAGGGCTACAGCGAAAATGTGTACTGTTGGGAGTACTCGAGGACTGGAGTTGGGAAACCCTGCCTTAGGCTGTGTTTACACAGGCAGCCCAATTCTGATCTTTTGACCAATTATTGGCAAAATATCAGAATTGGGCTGCCTGTGTAAACACAGCCTTAGCTGTTTACACAAAGAGGTGGTGGGGTGGCTGCTTTGTTAATGTTTGAACTGCAGATTGCCCCTTTAAAGAAGTTCTAAATTGATTTGTATGACTGAGTCCAGGGACAACTTGATATATAAATATGCGGTGTGTATTGTAAGTCCACAAATCAACCACTGGATGGTGTTCCAGATCTACCTACAGTGCATTCGGAAAGTATTCAGACCCCTTCTCGTAACATTTTGTTACTTTACAGCCTTATTCTAAAATTGATTAAATAAATGTTTTACCTCATCAATCTACACACAATACCACATAATGACAAAGCAAAAACATGTTTTCTGACATTTTTGCACATTCAT